GAAAGTGTAAATCTGTTGTCTGTTTAGCTTGAAACGCTATTTGTACTCTTAGAAGAATGACTTTTCCAAAAATAATGCGTTTGTTCGCGCTCGAATTAGTTGAAATTATCGCTAAAGAGCTGTTTTCTGAAAAGTCGTTTTTTATTGGTTGCCGGTCAACCAATAGGATTTCGAGGCAAATGGGTCTCAGATTCTGTTTTCTCGTCCCCGAAGACCTTTAGCCAAGTGTGACAGAATCTTGAAATATACCTTTTTTAGTCGATAGCACGATTTGTATTTTTCGACCACTCACTGTGCTGAGAAAAAGACCAGTAAGTTTTGTTCTACATATTCACCCTTTTAGGATTGAGGATAAGTCCAAGAAATTAGCGTAGGAGTCAATACTGTGAAGATTGCAGTTCTGTTTTTCTTTAGTTAGATCGTCTATTTATGGTAGAAGATTTCTTTTCGATACACAGATTAGGTTAAACAAAAAATCAAGGATGATTATCACGGGCACCCTTAATATACCTACTTTAACTTTGAAATTTTTAAAGTTACAGTGTTACAGTTTATTACTTTAGCTTTAAAGTAACACTTTAAGTTTAACTACTTTATTAAAGTGTTTTTAAAGTTAAAGTGCCATACCTAGTCCTTCCTTATTTTCATCCATGTCCATCTATTCACAGCCACTCGAATGGCTGTGAATGGGCTTTTCCCCCTTGCCCACGCCCCACCGTTCAAAAATAAAAAAGTACCATTAAGTACTTCTAAAGTGCAAAAAAGTACTGATATTCACTAGAAAAAGTGAAAAATAGTAAGAAACGCTAATTTATTTTATTTCATTCATATTTAAAGTACTTCAAAGTAGATGTTTTTACTTTTCTTTTACATGAAAAGGATCAAAGTTGGAGAAAAAAATACCATAAAAGTTGTCGCTTATCATGTTTTAGATATTTCTCACTTTAGTACTCCGTAAAGAACCTTTTCTCTACTGAATATGGCTACAGGAGGAGGAAAAGAAGCAACAGCACAACGTGTATTACGCTTTGCTGATGTCGTAGAGGAACCATTGGAATTCCTTTCGCCCATTGGTGGTTATGAGAAGGTAGAACTTGTTCCACTTGAAAAGGCTGTCGAACCATTAGTTCCTCTTCTACCAACTGTTCAAAGTCACGCCTATGTGGCCAAACAAAGATGCAAAAAACCAGCTGATAAACTAACACAAGATGAATCCGCATCAATTATGCTTTACACGATGTCATGGGAACCACTTGACGAGTGCCTCTACGTTGTCTTAAACAATACCTTACGTGCACCCGATCGACAACAAAAACTCAAACCATGGTATCTATTTTTAAGACTTTTCCTAAATGCACTTTTTCGTCTTCCACTGCTTCCCACAATGGCATACAGAGGTGTTAAGCTAGATTTGAGCAAGCGCTACATCGAAGGAGAAACTATCGTTTGGTGGGGTTTCTCGTCGTGCACAACATCGGTTGGTGTTCTTAAATCAGATATTTTTTTGGGAAAGACAGGCACCAGAACGATGTTTACCTTACAATGTCAATCAGCTAGAGACATTCGTAAGCATTCGTTTTATCCAACTGAAGACGAAGTACTTCTTATGGCTGCAACACAATTCGAAGTAGTCAGTTGTCTTGATCAAGACAGTCTTCACATTATTCAATTGAAAGAAACGAATCCACCATTTCCGTTATTACAACCAGTACCAATTGTGATTCCATCATCGATTAATCCAATTCCCTCTGGTAAGTGAGAACATAGCAAAGACATATTTCACTTGATGAGTAACACTGCTACTTTCTGTACTACGGAGGAAACAAACAATTAAAGTAGTGGCCAAAAATATAAGAACAGATCATTTTTTGCATTTTCATTTTATATGTCTTTACTTTTTTTCGATTGATAAAAGTTTATCTGTATAAATATATGCATTCAGCTGCGCTCTATACGAAACTGAAGTCAGATTTTCTCGTTTCTTCTGTCAGACCCAAGAAAAAGTATTTTTATGAAACAATCATAGTTTTTTTCTCAACGTAAAAGCACTAGTCTGGCTCAGATTTCTTCGCTACTAAAACTACAATTTAGATGGGACCCATTTTTTCCACAGTTCCACGTGATAGAAGACACATTTTGCTACAAAATAAAGCATTTTCGAAGTCTGACCAGCATTCTTCTGATGAGAAAACGACGTTTTAATAAAATACAACGATTTTTGTATCATATTTAGCTTGAAATTGACGATTTTTAGGATTTTAAACTTAAAAATGTCGTTTGCTTGCTA